ACAACCTAGCTCTTATCTTTCTTATTTTAACTTCTGATCAGACAAAAGTCATGGTGAATCCTCTCCTGTTCTCATCCACCCAATAAAATAGCTCACTGCTTCAATTTCACTTTCATTTTCTTAAGGAGATCTTTCTGGGTACCCAAGAAAGCAATAGTGATAATTCTGATGGTGATGGTGATGATGATGATGATGATGATGATTATGATTATGATAACAACGACGATGACACCTTAGGTGATCCCCAAATGAGGTGTTGAAAAGTTGTAACTGGTTCTATATGGTTATTTAACCAATCGGGTGCAACGAAAAATTATTGAAGATAAAATCCAAAAAGATACTGATCATAATGCATGCTAGGGGTACTAATGGGGACATACAATCATAAATTTGTCAATGAAGTGAAAATTTAGTCTGGCTACACTTTAGGGTAAGGGGACACATGTTCTGTTTTGTGAAATTGAAATTTGAAACTGGAGACTGTGTCTAATATATATTCCAAAACAACAGAAACGGTTAATGAAAGGAAAGTCACGTTCCCTGTCTCATGGTAATGACTCCCTTCATCGGACCATTAATGTGATAATGATCCACAAAATAGGTGTATGTACGTATGCCCATGGCTTGTAATCAAAATTTGTCTTAGAAGAAGCAAAAACTCAACCAACAAGCTCTGTACACAATAAAAATGTTTTCACAAGCTAGCTTGTAGAATTGGATAATGCCGGAAATTTTAAGTTAAAGAATCTCTGTAGTTATTTCTAATTAACACTCCACTGACTTGATATAGCATGACAAAAAGAACAGTAATTCCAACACAGACTATCTGTGCAGGGCAGTAAGGTGGTGCACAGACTGAAGTATAACAAGGAATGGAATCTTTTTAATTGACAGTATCAGTTGGTGTTATTTTTTCACCTGTATGTATCACGGAGGTTCTTAGCGAAACTGTTTTATCACAAGTACTCTTGACTCTACACAAACAGCATATTTCTGGGTAACTCGCTACTATAGCATTTCTCCTCGTGTATCTTCAAAAACATGTTACGCAAAGCACTTCATTCTCTGAAACACAACATGGGATGAAAAGTAAGTTCATTTCTGCTAGGCCATTAAAGTAACAGTGTCAAGGATAAAACTTCAAGTCACCTGTCTTTCTATCTCAACAATTGATGCCGCCAGCCTTCTTTTCAAAATTGATCTGTCCCTCTCACAGCTCTCCATTTCAGTATCTAAATCAATAAGCAAATGAAAGAAGTAAATACGTAACAGTATGAACACACTCCAGTCTTTCTCTTTTGAACAAAGAAGTCTGCCGACAGTTGAAAATGGATCAATAAAATATAAACAGTGACAGTTTTATCTTTCCACTACTAGGCAACATCACTTAAATGACCAAATCAATGCAACTAAATCTAACAAAGATCTGCAGAAACCTTATTCTTATGAGTCCAGGTAACAGCATTATTTCTAGTCGGTTTATGTTTTTATTAAATTACAAAAATATTTACCAAACAACCTTAAATCATATATGCAAAGAACTCTTAAGCACCCACGGGCAATCAGAACCATAAAAATGGTGCTAAGAAAGCTATACATTCAAGGGAATCTCAACTGAATTGAGCAAGTTCCAGTTAAATGGAAAATTCTGAAGTTGAGTTCGTTTCAAATTTTAATTTTATGGAATAAGAATAGAAATATAATTTGAATGAAAATACTATTCTAATTCCAAGTCAATTTTATGTCTAATCAAAGTTATATGTTGTTATTATTCTTTCTTTAACAAGAGAGAATATAAATTTGTTAGTGGAATTAATTATATAAACAAAGTTGGTTTAATTATGCATCAAATATATAAATTATAACTAAGTTCTACATGTTAAATGATTAAGATATAGGAATTGAATAAGAATAGAAGAGATTTGAACCAAACACTACAATAATAGAAACTAAGGGAATAGGGAAATTCTTACCATAATAGTAGGATGACAGAATCGTGATGCGCTCAGTTGGCTGGAAGGGGCGAAGAAAAAATACAAAATTACACACAACTCAATGAACATCAAAGTCAGATAAACTAGGATAAATGCTAGTCTCCTTCACCTAGTTTATGTGTCAGAAAAGCACAAAATTATAACTACAGAGATACGGCCATAAAATAAATGGAGTAAGATACACCAGAAGGTGTTTACAAGTCAATCAGTTCATCGATCAGGACCCCCTAGGTTCCATATTAATACCACAATTCTATGCTTTTATTATTTCAGAAAAAAAAGATGCACCACATGGTGAAAAATACATAATTAATCATGAAGATAGTTCAATAATGCATCCTCTTTGAAGTATGACTCTCCTCAAAGCAGCCTAAAAAATGCTGGTCTGTAAACAAACATGAAAAGATTAAAAACTTTGTTTTTTCAGTCTTCTACAAAATTAAGTGTGCCTCCCTCCTCCCATGCACCTGTTACCTCTATGTAGGTAGAACTTGCTTAAACTGAAAATAATGAAGATTCAGGAAAAGAATTTACCAATATTCATCTTCAGGATATACTTAAAACTAATAACCTAGAGTTAATATTTTTTTTTTTTTTGAAATAATAACCTAGAGTTAATATTGCAGAGACTTCCTTGACATTGAAGATATCAAGAACATATTAGAAACATACCATTACAAAAATCCCCTCACGACGAGTAGGGACTTCTTCAAGCTTTCTCAATGTTTCATCACCTTTAGTAACTTTGCCAAATATTGCATACTAGGCATAAATCATAGCAGTGCTTTTCATTAGCTGTCATGTTGAACAGGGATTAAAATAAGTATTTGTCAGTTATTTGGCATGTATGAGTAATAAACCTGCCCATCAAGATGAGGAGCATCTCCAAGAAGTATGGAGAATGAAGATGATGCACTGTCTGGATCTGAATATCTACACAAGGTCAAAAGTAAAATTGTTAGTTCACATTAAGCTTCATATTAAGTGATATTTTCTAGTGGAAATCCTGAACAGAAGGTTTTGATACATGGTCTTCCCTCAAAGAAGCCAGGGACTGATTCCTCCATGAAAAGGTATCTAATTGTGAACTAACCAGTGTTGCGGTCTAATATAATGATTAAAATAGAGTTTAATCTTTCTACCGAATACTTTTGAAATAAATATTTTTATTAAAGTTAAAATTAAATTTCAAATCGAAGTATATAGAGTTTTGTTTTGGTTGCATGTGAGGAAATGTTTCTCTTTTGATAAATAGAAGTTTATTCAAGAGAAAGAAAAATTGTAAAAAATAGAAGAGGATAAAATATCCTTCACCTCAGAACAATTGAAACAAGAAATAAAATTTAAATATAAACTTAGGATCAACATAGAAGTCCAATCCCTAAGCAAGGTAGATAACTGCAGCCCTTGAAATAACCATGGGCGAAGAAAATAATCCCATTCCAAACCATGTTATGCATTTGAAAATGATGATTGAAGATTCTAACATTCTGTTCCTACTGATCCAAAAACTAGCGAAATTAACACATCTCCACAACAGCTTATGCTCCTTGGTCTCCAATGCCTCATAAGGTCGAAGAGATGAAAATCCCTAGGGTACTTTAAGATACACCTGCTCAACTCCAAACAAAGAAAAGAATCTAGTCCATGAAACTCAATCCTCACAGAACAGTTTAGAGAAGGTTGACAAGTGTACTCTTTGAACTTTGAGACACATCAACAACTGACAGGAGAAAGT